ATGGTGTGTGATTTGGGCTGTGGGGGTCTGTTTGTGTATTTGTGCACGAATCATCAGGGGTAATGAATAGGGCCCGACGGATATGGATTTTTTGGGGCCGATACCAATTGTTGGGGGGGGTGGAATCTGATTACCGATTAATCTGACGATTTTTTAAAAATTTTATGAAGTTATAAAAAATATATATATACTGTAGATATCTGTAGTATACAGTATACTAGACCGACTGATCAAACTTGGACCAGAAAAGCGTTTTCAACTACCCCCCCTCTCAGCCGCCGATCGGTGCCTCGGCGTCTTAACTCATGTTACTCATTTCCGGTCCGGTCTCATGTGGAGACATGCAGCTGCCTCAGTAAGAGAAGTAGCTCGATCACTAATGTGTACTGTTGTTTATTTTACTGTTACCGGCACGGCTAACAGTGTAGCAAGGCTAACAGCAGATGGATAAGTCTAACTTTAGCTTTCATATTACATGGTGCTTTACCGTTTACTCGGCGTGACCAAGACCAGCACAGCGGGGAACATGGTGAAGTGGATTGAACTGAAACTTGTTGACTTCTTGTGTGTTTCACAAACTGTTTTTTTTACCGTTGAGGCGGACCACTCTGTGCGTCCCTGAGCTGCCTGCTTCAGATCCGTCACTCTGCTGTGCTGTGAGGTAGTTAGTGGATGAAGATTGTCATGAGGTCGCTGCGCCATCTACAGGATAAGTCGGGGAACTTTTCAAATAGCGGAACATTTTCCGCTATTTGAAATGGAAACTGAATCTTAGTCTCCACATTTTATTTCTGAAAATATCTGCGAAAATCGACGAGTTTTGGCAGACTACCGATTAGTCTCAAACGGGCTAAAATTGGTCGATTTAATCGACTTGCTGATAAATCGGTCAGGCTCTAGTAATGAATCCGCAGTGAGATCGCTGAAGATAACTCAGTTATTAAGCAGCTGTGTGATCACCGACAGTAACCTTCTAATTAATCAGCTGTTATCGTGATCGATAACTCACTTATGCTTCAGCTTTAACCTAGTATTAATACTCGTCATGCTCGCTTTGCAGTGCGCCGCACGTATGTATACTGATACAAATTGAGTCAAAGGTAGAGCCACCAGGGTAAAAACCTTAATTTTAAGGTGCGGTGGCTTTTATGTTTAATCATCCCAGCGTCATCTGAGTCTCCTGAAGTATCCGCGCAGGCGCACACTGTAGCCGACAATTTTCGTTTAATCATGGCGGAAGGAGGAGACAACAGCGCCCAAGACATCCATCAGCCCTCTAAGAGGACCAAGTCTGAAGTGTGGGCATATTTTGGATTCGATAAAAATGTCGAGGGACGCTTAGTTGAAGGCGGTAATCCTGTCTGCAGAACGTGCAAAAGAAAAGCTGCTGTTAAAGGCAGCAACACCTCAAACCTAATGACTCATCGCCGTAACCGTCACCCGCAACTTTACAGCCAATGCATGGTGAGTGAATGTTCAGGTTTTAGCTGAAATGTGGGCACTTCAGGTGGAGGGACAGTGCACTGAACTGTTTGTCTCACTTACTGACTTGTTGTTTATTCGTGAAGATATGGTGAAACGGTGAAAACAGGGCATCGAAAATTACGTTAAATACATTTTTAAAAACAGTGCGATAATACCGAAAACCGCAATCACTTTGGTCACAACCACTAGGTAGAATGGACTGTTACATCCCTATAAGTTGAATAAGTTAAAGTATAAGTTCATATGAATGTAAATTTTGTCATTTTTTCTGAAAACAGTTTCCTGAATGATAAAGTAGTAAAAATAAAGATAAATTTAAACTTAAAGTCTTTGAGTTTTGGTCTCTATGGAGCTTCAAAGCTCGCAGGAACCGTTTTCATCTCTGACTCTCGTTTCCGTCCGCAGATGAACATGCTGATGCGTCTCAAAGAGGCTGCGACCTCATCGAGCCCGCAGAGCTACGACAGCGACTCCAACAGCAACAGCCACCAGGACGACATCCTGGACTCGTCGCTGGAGTCGACTTTGTGATGTCATGAAAACTCTGGGATGGTTTTCAGAAGAACGGACTTCTTATTGAGAGTATAATTTAACGCCACAGAATCCAGCCACCTTAAGTTGGGTGCGGGTAACCCAAGGAGAAAAAACAAACTTACATTTCAGAAAAAAACGGGCGAGGAAAGTTTTTTCTGCACTGCGCTGTTTTTTTTTTTTTCTTTTTTTCTTTCTTTTTCACCGCTGTGGCCCGCGTCTCCTCTTTTTAGGAGCCTGACTTCTTCTTCTTCTTCAGAATAAAAGCACACAGCCTGTCGCCATCAGTGAGCATCCTCATCAGCCAATCAGCATACTTCAACACCAGCTAGGATTACTCCATCCTCCCCCTGAGTGCAGTACACCTGAGCTGCCTGCAGATGGCCTCACTGGACTTTGAGCTGGGAACACTGCAGATGAGACGGATGGAGACGGGTGGATGAAGCACCTACCCTTGTCTGCGTTTCCTCCTATTCAAATGCTGAAGTTCACTGTGTGACTTCAGGAGGATACATGAAGCCAAAGTGAACGTTAAGGTCCTACAGCATTTCTTTAAACCCCCTCAGAAATATCAGAGCCGTGTTTACCGCGAGTTTACTCGACTCAAAAATATTTCAAAGCAGTTTTTAAGCTGGAAAAGAAATAAAAGTATTGCTCCGTGACAGGCTGACATCAGGAAAAAGAGTTTTTAAAGGAGAAGAAATAAAAATTCTGATACATCTGAATGTATTTTAGTGAAATTCCTCCATTTGAATGCAAACAGATAACTTTTGAGTTTGAGCAAGAGGGAGTTAAACTTAACATAATTCAACCAAAAGAGGTTTCAGTGCATTTACAAAAACAAAAAACCTTCAAAATCTAAGCATATAAATGTAACTCTAACACTTATGTTTTTACATAAACGATTCATTTGAAGATGCATGCATCCTTGGTATGATAAGATAAGAACTTTATTAATCCCTGAAGGGAAATTCAAACGTCTGTCGTCTCACACAACATGTCTCTAAAAGTTCTCTAAAAGCCTGATGGCTGTTGGTACAAAAGATCTTCTGAATCTTTCTGTCCTGCAGCGAAGAGAGAGGAGCCGTCCACCTCCATTGGCCCTTTGGTCCATCAAGGTGTTGTGAAGTGGGTGATCCACGTTCTTTAGACTAGTCTCCACCTTCCTCAGTGTAGATCTCTCCAACCACGGAGCCAGCGGTGGTTGACTTGCAGGACCAAATCTGAGACACATCTCTGTCTTGATTACACTCACACTTTGCGACACCTGTCACGACATTTTAGACTTTTTCCGAACAAAACTTTGCTGAAACAAGCGAAAAGTTTTCCTCTTTGTCTTTTGTGATTGGATAATAAAGACACAGAAGCAGAGAAGTAACAGGAACAAGTGTGTAAATAAGTAACTCCACTTACATCCTACATTAGTGCACAAAGAAAATCTCAACACTGAAAGAAAAGCTCAAATTTGCGTTACTTTTTACTTTTGTAGGAACTAACCTCGCAGCTGGACCACCGCTGAGGTCATCCATAGTTGTCTGAGCGCAGAAACTGCTTAGAAATAAGAATAAGGTAAACAGGAGCGTAAACCGGACACTGACTCTGATTTGAACATTCACTTTGGCTGCATGTATCCCCCTGACTACATCTGAGATTTTCTCGTTTCTGTCTGTATCGTGAGGTTTCTCGTCATTTCACAAACATCGCCCGAGTCCTAGTTTTCACCGCTCAATAATCCTCCGAGATCTCCACGCACATTCGCCCACACAGGCTGTTGTAGCACAAAAATCTAATGGTGCTGGACTGAGTTTTTAAGAACCAATGCCTTACTCTTTTCTAACAGACTATGTGCATTAAAACTGAGTCTTTATTCGTCTAAGTGGCTGTAAAAAAAAACTAAACAGGGCTGCGAGTCGACTCTCTCGCTCTCTCCTGGAGGAGCGCCGTCGACCTCTCATCATATCAGACACCAATGCCGAGGGATTGAGTCGCGAATGAGAAGCAGTACTTTGGGGGGTTTTTCAGATTAAGTTGTATGCATGTATGACCCAGTGCTGTGAAGCTGGTGTAAATATTTGGACCACTAGCAAGAAAGAAAAATCTATTCGGTATGTGATGTGTTTCGGTGCTTGAGATCAGAATATTTTGCAGATGAGGGAACTTTAAAGATGTGTTGATTTTCTTATACCTCATCCCCCATCCTTTGTGCTTTTTGCTCAGAGTCGGTGTGATTTGAGAGGATCGATTGTTGGACTGATAAAAGTGAAAACTCGTGTACATGCTGCTTTGTTTATAGTGATTTCATAAAGGTTCTTGTGGTCGAATGATAGTGTTAAATGGTTCAGCGTCATTTCTACGGCTTCAAACGTGAGGATATCGTAACTTTTCTTTGTTTTAAACCTCACAGTCAGAGTGTGTTTGTCACCGATCCTATGCAACAACATCCATTCTGATCTGAAGCCAAAAGCTGAATGTGCGTTTGTCCAGCACTGCCCCAGATGTACAGCATGGATCCAGATTTTGTTTTGGTCATCTGTGTGTGTGTGTCTGTGTTTCTCCTGTAAGCACAAAGAGGCTGATCCTCCCTGTGGATGTCTTTTGAAGCATTTGATCCGTCTGTCTGTCGGTCGGTTGATTACTCACAAACTCAATGAATGTTTAGCCTTCTTCTTTGCTATGTACATTTTTTTGATATGTAACATAACTTTGTATATAGTTGATTATCTCGCAGACATTTTGATGACTTTTTCTAGCTGATTTGTAACGGTACTTGAAAAAGAGTATTTTGTGTACAGTCTCTTTACATCAGAGCAGATCGGCGGCCGAGGAGTGTCATCGCTGGTCTGTCAGGGCTCGTTGAATTAAATCTATCACTGTACTAGTCTTAAGTTATTGTGATCCAATAAAAGTAATAATTATTTATGAATGAATGAATCCAGACGAACTGTCTTCTTTTAAAACAATCCAAGCACACACACACACACACGTGGAATTCAATTGTTTACAGTTTTATTTGGTTTTTGTACAAAAGAAAGTGAAATAAACATATTTACAACACATACTTATTAAACAAATCCATATAAATTATTCACGAAATAGCTACATTTGTTCAATAAACAACTCTATTCAAGGTCAAGGTGGAAGGAACTCAATATTCTTGGCATAAAATTTCCATACAAAGTTGTACAAAATACTGTACAATAAAACAAAGCTGTGCAAAAACAGCAAACTGACTCAGAAGCAGATCCTGTACAGTGCGCATGTAGGTGTTTTTTCGTGTTTATGTGGGCGGGTCAGAGTCTCTGATGAAAACTTTTTAATAATTTTATCTTGGCTTTGAGAATAAATTAAGATACTGTGATTTCTTCTTCGTCTGACTCTGAGAAGTCCGAGTGTTTACTGGAGAGAGACGGAGAGGAGGCGCTGGACCCCGCCGCCCTCAGCCTCTCTCCTCTGAACTGCTCCATCTCCTCTTCCTCCTCTTCGTCCTCAGCTGAGGACTTCTTGCCCACGTCGCTCAGATCCGGGTGCGGGTTCGCTTTCGTGGGCAGCGTCTGTTCGCGGCAGCCTCCCGAGGACAGCAGCTCTCGCTCCTTCGAGTTCCTCCACTTCATCCTCCTGTTCTGGAACCAGATCTTCACCTGTGGAAACATCACAGAATGAGTCAAAGGGCTCTACGTTCTGCGCGCTTTTACGCACGAATTACGCACGATGTTTTTTGACTTTTTAAACACCTGTGAGCTGTTACAAGTTTTTTTTTTTACCTGAGAGTCTTTGAGGCCCAGTTTAGAAGCGAGCTTCTTCCTGTCAGGTTTGCTGATGTATTTCTGTTTCTGGAACATTTTCTCCAAAGCTTTGCGCTGGACATCAGAGAACACAGCCCTCCTCAGCATCCCTCTGCGGGGTTTCCCTCTGGCTGCCAGGGGCCATGAAAAAGTCCCGGGGATGGGAACGACGGATGAAGATGCTGCAACACAAACAGAAAAAATGAGAAAAAAAAAAATCACATTAGATTAGTTTTTCCAACACAAGAAAATGTGGCCCAGACTAACCCTGCAGCCACAGATGACCAACTGCGAAATGGATCCCTAAAGCCGCTCTTCAGAGAAACCTCTATGAATATTATGATTCCTCTTTCAGGCCGAACTTTGAGCTGGTTAGGATTGGAAGTTTCCCCCCTTTGGAAACTGTGCAATACGTCTCCGTTTTGAGTGAAATGGCACGAGGTGACTAATTAGCACATTGGCCGGTCCCCAACCGCATTGGTATGGTAAAGAGGTAGCATATCCTTTAAGGAACCCTGTGAGGGCGGATAGAGGAGTTAATAAACCGTGAACGGTAATTGTGTAGTAATGAACTAACGCAGAAAAGACTCTGGACAGGCGGCGAAGGCCATATATTATGGCAACAAAAGGAGATTTACACTTTCAAACTAAACACAACTGCATACCAGAATACTGATGCCCTGAAGGGGGAGTGAGGAGTGGAGGGGATTTTTTCTTCTCCTTCTTCTTCTTGGTGCCTTCAAATCATTTTCATTAAATGAACACGAAAAGCTATTCAGGACGCTGGAGTTGTTTTGTTCAGGCATTCAGCTGAGCCTATGAAAAGACTCCATCTCCATTATGATTTGGCTGAATGAAAGCACGGACTAGCGACTTTATAGACTTTTCTAAGAGATTATTCTTTATCTCAGCTGGTTGATTGGCGCGTTTGGAGAATAGAGGACCGTTTAGGGCACAGAGAGAGTGAGGAGTGGAGGTCAGTGGTAACCCATCCTATGAGCCCCGCAGAAAACTCTCCCCAGCTGGGACGTTTCGGACGAGTTTGAGCTCTTCCAGTAGTGTCCCCTCTCTGCCTGGACTTCCCCCTGACTGTAAGTGCCCTGCGGCCACAGCAGAGTCAGGAACAACAACGCGCTATGTGGTCTTGTGAGAATATAGAAAACTCTCAATAGCGCCTAATAGGGAAATTAGTGCATGACTGGTTCACGCCTTTAGCCCCCCTGGTAAAAGTCACCCTCCAGGGTGTGTGGGTGGTTCGCCCGGTGGGAGCTGACCAAATTGGTCACGGTGCTGAGGGGGCTTTGTTGCCCGCCACTGCGGCCCGGTGGCCCCCCGGGCTCTGTGGGAAAACGCAAGGCGAGGGAAATGCCAAAACGCCCCCCAATGGGAAACAGGGGGGACCATAACTCGCCACCCCGCCTCAAATTTAGAGCGTGACGATTTGGGATAATTGGTTAATTAGGGGTGGGTGGGCGGGTGGGAGGCCAGAGCCAACAGTCTCCATTAATAAGACAGTGATTTCTTGTGCTCCAAGTTTGGACACATGAGATGGTTTTTGGAGAGGATGTGCGTAAAAGTCGCGCCTACCTGGTAAATAAGGAGTCCTGAAGATGGGGTGAAAGGTTCCGTCAAAGCAGGGGATGGGGAAGTTCTTGGAGTGCAGGCTGTGGATTGTGGCAGGAGATGACGCTGTGGAGGAAGATCACAGAGGTTAAAACATGAAGAAAGTCTGAGAGCGCGCACACGCACATAGAGGAGTCTCTCTTTACTCACTTGTCTTTGGTGAAGGTGCGAGGATGGCGCTCACTCCAAACTTGAGAAAACTCGGGTCCTTGCTGCTCGGCACTGACGTTTTAGGCGAGCACGACTCGCGCGTCACCGCCGTGGTTGCCAACACGCGCTCCGCGGGCGCGCCGCTGAAGGACACGGTGGTGGTGGCCGTGGGCAGGGAAGCCTGGGAGACGCTTCCAGGCGGCGGGACAGTCCGGTTAATGTAGGCGGTGGGGCGGCTTATCCGCAGCAGGTCCTCCACGAGGAAGCTGGAGTGGGAGGGAAAGACGGACGGAAGGGTCTGGTGAAGCGGCAGAGCGGCGGCAGGTCGGTACAACCCCGGGTACAGGGCAGGAGGCGCGAGGACGCTTGGGATCATCATGGTCCCGGTTTGTGGGGGAAAAAAAAGTTAGAGTGAAAGCTGAGATACTCCTGGTGGTCGCTGGGAGAGATTCAGGCTTGTGAATGGCTGCTAACTCCTCTGGTCTCCTCACTCAGGGGAGAGGAGCTTTATAGCAGGCCGCCCCCTCCCTCGGCCCTCCGCTCGGCGCTGACAGCCTCAACAATAGAGCTCAACAAAGTTCTCCACATGGGTCGCTTTCATGCTGCATCCCCCGGCCCGCTGATTGGCCGGAGGACGCAATTTATGATTGCATTAGACTTCATAAGCAAGAATGAGACAATGTGAGCGGCACAAAAGAGGCTCACTCATCAGTTTTGCATGTTGACCACTTTCCTTTGAGTTTGTTTTGTTTGGCGGAGCCTAATTAAAGCCTAATCTTTACACATTCACTCATTATAGAGGAATTTAATGAGGACCTAGAAGAGAAATACTTCATTCTTTTCTATTCAAGGAAAAATATACTCGTTAAAGATGCAAAAATATTCTTTTATTGGTTTTTTTAAGGGTGCAAAAACAAAAAAGCAACAGGTAGATAAAAGTGAGTTGGCATCAAACTCGTGATCTCAACAGAATAAACCATAAAACTGATTTATAACAGCGTCTATTTGTGCTGCTTTCTCTCCATTCTGGCTGCAGACGCCGCGCAGCATCTCAAATGTAAATCACTTTTCGGGTTTCATTGGATTCTCAACACTCAATCTGGCCCTCGTCATGGAATAATGTCTTAACGGGATTTCTGCTATCAAAACGCTTTAACAGATGTGTTAAATATCACTCTTTTCTGCGCAGGCTTCATTCAGCGACGCAGAGCCGCCGCGGCGCAGTGCGCACAGGAGAAGAAGTGTGCGGGCCTGAGCCGTGCGCTCCTGATCCTGTTAACCATGAACTAACTGTCACCCTCAGCTGCAGAGGAGGAGGAGGAGGAGGAGGAGGCGCCCCTCGGCCTTTTCTCTGCTTCAGCCCTGAGGAATAAAAAAAAAAAGCTTTATTTCTAAAGACGGTTTTGTTCTGCTATTTTAACCGGCTGAATAAAAGTGCATCTGTGATTTGATTTAAAACGCATTCATATGAGCGGACACTGAGACCCCCTTATAAAACTCTTATTAAAGCGACTTGGAGCCCGATAGTCGTGTTCTGTCAGCTTTACCTCCTGAAAACCCGTTAAAGCAGCAAAGCAATCAGGCGAAAATACACCAAAGGAGAAAAAAGAGAGACGCCAGGAAAAAAAACAATAAAATGAGAAGAGTTTGAAAAAGTTTGATCATGAATCCAAAGAGAAAAACAAACTTTTTAACACCATTTTTTTTCTCAATTTTGTGAATTTACATTTAACTTTAAAAATTCAAGAAATATCTCTCATGTTGAAGCTCATTTCTAGCAGCAGATTATTGTTTTCCAAAATTCTTGGATGGTGTTTTGGTGAGTTTGTGCGCATTTCTGCACCTTTAAATTTGGATTATTTTCACCAGACTTTTCTACCATATAGTAACATGAGCAAATATAAAAAAGTTTAACTTTTAAAAAATCCTTTTGTTTTCATTTTCTATCAAGTAATATTTCACATGTTTAAGGTAAACTCGTTTATGGCAGCAGATTATTGTTTTCCAAAATTCTTGGATGGTGTTGTGGTGAGTTTGTGCGCACTTTTCGCCTTTAAATTTGGATTATCATCTCAAGACTTTTCCACCATATAGTGACATGAGCAAATACCAAAAGATTAATTGCAAATACTATCAGGATGAGAAGATGTCTGCAGTTTGTTTGCGCGTAAACAAACTTTCCCCCCCTTATTTTTAGGCCACTGTGCCTCACGCACCTGCCTCGGTTTCATCCACAAACGCACCTTCCCACTCACTTTCTCTCACTCTGAATCAGCTCAAATGATAAGTGGTTCAACATCAGTCTAAAATAAAGTGGCCACAATCCGATAATTAAAAGGGAACGCCTCCGTGAAATGATCCTTTGCGGAGAGTCAACGCTTATCAGAGGTGCGGCGCGCTTTTTACGAGACGCACAGACGCGCAAACAGGCGTTAACACGGCGCGCTCCGTCACCACAGCTACACCTCCACACAAGAAACAAGACCTTCAAAGCTTTTTTTTTATGAGCCCCCATATTCCTTTACTTGGCTGCCCGAAATCCTCCTTTTGTGCGCGCTAAGCAGATGGTTAGCAGGAAGCATAGGCTGCTCAGGCTGACCGAGACTAATTTCGACGAGCTTTGCAAGCTTGCCACGTCCCCGCTCCTTTACCAGGCCGAGTAAAAACAGCTGGCTGCGGCTGAATTAAGGCCATTAAAAGCACATCTCTGAAATATTACCACCACCTCCAACAACCCCCCCCCCCCCACACACACACACACACACACACACACACACTCATCCCTCTGCGAGAGCCCACTAAAGTCCCATCACTGAAATAACTGTCCCGTGGGATTGAAGAGCCTGTGATAAAGTTCACGTGGTATTATGGGATGATTTGTAGTTTATTCCAACAAATAATCAGGACTTTTTATTAATGGTACTTTTTACTGCTTATATTGGCTTAAAGGAATAACCTGAAACTGTGATTAAAAAATAAACAAATGTGAAGGCTGTTAAAATAAAGATACAAGTCGAAATGAAGCATACAATATTCATATTAGTGGACCTAATTATGCTTGTGTTCACTTATGATTTTTAATATTCCCATTGGGAATTCCTTCTGATGTTTATCACTTTTATAATATGCTTGATAATCAAATATCTCTTTGGGGAAAATGTTTGACACTAAAACGACTAATATAAATGAATATATGTGTTGTTTTTTTTAAGAGATTTTGTGTTAATAAATAAAGAAAAAATCAACATCAGTCGTTGTATTGTTCGCATGGTAAAGTATGGATGATGTTTTCTGCTTTTATTTTGATTTTATAGTTAATTTCAGTTGTTTTGCATTATGCTTGTGTTCACTTATAATAAGCTTGATAATCTAATGTCTCTTTGGGGAAAATGTTTGACACTAAAACGACTTATATAAATGCATATATGTTGTTTTTAGGGATTTTAAAGAGATATTGTGTCGTTTTATTGTTCCATGGCAAAGTACGGATGATGTTTTCTGCATTTCTTTTGATTTTATAGTTAATTTCAGTTGTTTTGCATTTAAAAAAAAAAATAGTTTTTTTTTTTCATTTTTCCTGCAGAAACAGTTTCGTTCCCTTCATTTTTCCAGTCTAGTCTTGAGTGGTATTTTTGGGGGAATACTATCAGATCGTTATCCCTCCTCTGACAGGCCCATGCCGTTTTACCAAACCAGATGAACTTAACCATTGTCTCTGCTCTCTTTCTGCTTCGTTAAGTGAAAGGAGCTGAGTAAATATGTTACCCATGCATGAGAGGCTCTGTATGGGCCGGCCCATTGTGCGCAGGGTCCGACAGGTGGTTAACTGTTTATTATTCCCTCATTATTTATCGGTGACGTGGACGCACCGAGGAAAAGGGGAAACTCCCCATCTTTTCACTCAACCGGGGATGAACAGATTGTGCTGACTGGTTGCAGCCTCGTATATGACACCGGTCACCAGTCCATCCATCTCAGGTCTGCAGCCCTTTCAGCTCTGCACCCACCTCCGCCCGGGTTTGGTCAATGAAACGATTTAGTTAACACACCCATTTGTAGTGCATGCAAGCCAAGACTATAGAGAAACATAAAGATAGACCAGGAGTAATTTAAAAAACTTTATTAAATTCATGGAAATTAATCTTAAAGAGTCACAAAGACCTTGGCATAAAGCCCACATCAGATATAGTCTTTGAAAAAAAAACATTAAAATGTGGAGTTTGAAAGCAGTTTTAACCCTGAACACAAATCAATTTTTATGTGTGATAAGTTTGAGAAGCATCTAAAGCTCCTGTCAGTAACTTTTGGTTTGTGTCAGTTTTTGTTCCAGCTCTTCCTTTACCTGCTTAAGTAGCGACAACTAACGCAAACTTCATCCTGCTGACTTTTGACCATAATCTGTATAAAGAATGGACGCCGTCTGCCTCCTCACTGGGTGAAGTCACTCCGAGAACAGCACCCTCTGTTGACGGGCTGCAGTATAGGTCATAAATCCCGCCTCCTCCAATAATCCCTATGGAGCTGTGGACAAACTTTAGAAATTTATTACACAGAATAAAAATTTTTCTCCCCCCCGGTTGTGATGTTGACATGTAGTAACTGTCAGACTGGTTTGTGCTCAAGTCCTCTTTTTTCTGTGAAGCTCTGTTTTTAAAAGTTATTAAGGGGTTCATGTTTTCTATGATTGACGCCTGATACAGCCTATGGGCATTCAGGGATTGCGTAGCTCACCCGGGAGGATATGCTGTTTGAGCCGAGCGTCATCACGTGACACTGATATATTAGGAGAAGCAAGATACTTTTTTAAATCTAGTTTAAAGTTCCCTACAAAAGCGTTAACTACACCAAAAGGTTGCCAGTGCATATAAACCTAAGTAAAAACTAAAGCCAAGTCAGTAAAGTAGCTGAGATCAGGATGTTTTCTTGTATTGAGTAGCATTACTGAGGACTTCTCATTCTTCTCATCTTGTTTGACCATCCAGAGTCGAACTTGAAGCCTTTAAATGTCAAAGTTCATATTCTGCAGGTTTCAGATGAAGCTGAACTGGATCGCGGCTCCTGCCATGTGACGTTAACCAAACATCTATTTCAGTTCGTGACTGGGCTTCCACTCAAAGTGACTCCCACTCTCGGGGTGTTTTGGCCGCGGCTTCACCTCAGCTCGCCGGTGGCTCTGAAGGTCTCTGCAGCATCTGGCTCAGGCCGTCCAGAAGCCCCCCCCCCCACTCGACACAGAGGGAATTAGCAATGCCATAAGATTCAGAAGCGCGGTGACAAGCATTAAATCGATATTAACTTTGTATTAAACATGGGCCCCTCCCTCTTCCCCGAATGGACTGGAGCCATATCAGCACACAAAGCGCTCTGTATGAACTCTGGCTGCACCTGTTCCCTCTCACTCGGCCATGGGAGTTCAACTTCTTAGTTTCACCCCGGGCTCTTTTCTTCGTCTGCTTCACCCCACACTGAATTCTTTCACTCCAGCTTTAGTCATCTTCACCCCCCTTTCGTTTACAACTTATCAAATCACATCATCGTACGTTTTACTTTGGCACACTTGGTCCAAGCTGTGACACAAAAGTTCCACTTTCAGCCGCGGAAAGTTGCTCTTTTTTTTTGTCCGGTCTAGGACACTTGCCTCCCCTTCTTGCTGTTCATTTATTAGCAGTTGTCAGTATGGATGTCGAGTGGTGTCCTAATCCTCTTAGAGCGCATGTTGGTACAGTTTGCATATCATTTTCTCATCTTGGAGAAAGGCCACAACCCTCTCTATTCACAGGGATTCCCTGTCCTCTTTCAGTGCAGCTACAGCCAACGGCATTAGCATAATCTGACAACCAATACCATTGTCCGTGACCTTGTATGCAAAGTTAATTGCTCATTAATACCAGACAAAACAGAGGGGTGCAGAGGAAGCACAGTAGTCCTCCAAATCCTTGTTTTAGAGGCGGGCAGGTGGAACATCCTCCTCTGGTTCATTAAACGTCACCTGAGAACATTTCAATCGAGCAAAATCTAGAAATTCAAGTCAAAAATTATTACAATCATGCATAAAAAGTCTGCAGAGTTTGAGCTATCTGTCAATCTAATCCTAGTTTTAATAATAATCTTTATAATCTGGCAGTGATATTGTCTAAAATCCACACACATGCACACAAAGACTCGCACACACTCCCTCAAAAGTATATACAATTTGTCACACCGGCTCAGGGTTAATCAATTGCAAATGTATCTCTCTGCAAGTTTAATCTCATCTCTACATTAGTTTCACGGATACGGGGGCGATTTGCGAGAAGAGCCTCCACCCCAAACCATCTTCGTCCCCACCCCCCCCTAACCCAAGCACCTGGCACTCTTTTCGGGGTAGCGTCATGTAAACACCCACTGCTTCCTCGGGTGCCCCGTCTGAGGACCCAAGCGTCA